TTATAGTATCTAAAGAATTTAAGATATTTGAAGCTTTAGGGTCTATGCATGTCAAAATTACTAGTGTAAAAAAATACGGTTCTAGAACGGTTTAAACAATAGCACAGTCTAATTACGACAATCATTCATGTCTAAAGTTGCAAAAAATCATATTGTTCCAGTGTTTTGAACCGTTCTAGAACCGTACTTTTTGGGAACTCGAATAAAGCTACTGTCATGACACATTTAGAAAGTAATTTTAACGGTTCCATTAACATCGATACTTCAAAAATTTATAAAATAAAAACTAGACATAAAAAGTAATTGAATTTTTGGTAATGGTGTGGATCCGGTGGCTGACCTTGAAACGAGTTTTTGCTGCATATAGTCACAGACACTACGCTTGCGCACATCTTCGATGTTGCCAGTTTGCAAGTTATTTTGGAATTATTTTCAGTAGAAAACAAATATGTGCTTTTCAGTGTTTTTTTGTCAATATATTCCGTATGATCGAAAAAACGGCGTCTAGTTGGCCAGGAAATGACGATTGAGGACATTTCCCATATAAAATGACAGCGATCTTCATTTCATAGTCATCGCTGACGCTATTTTTTTCAATCATAGTACTCAGTATATTATTTAGATTATTATTTTAATATTTCGCACAACACGTGAATGCTTATTATGTATTTTCATAGTCAATAAAATTAAATAGAAATAAACCTCTAGATTCCTATAATTAATCTAATTGCTCTAGATTATTATGCTACGTTTAAAAAGGGCTTGGTGGAAATTAAAAGGGATGTGTCCAAGTTTTTTCTTTTTTTTAATTTTTAAATGCTGTAGCTCCATGTCATGTTCATAATAGTTTTTTTTAACATTCCATCAAAACTACGGTAGCCTTAAAAGGCCTTTTAGCCTCCGTAATTAAAATTGTAGAATCAGCTTCAGCAACATTAACAGTTACCTTGTTTAATTCTGCTTATACATATTGTTACGGATTCCGTGGGTCCACTATTTAAACTCACGATAAAATACTTAACGAATTTATTTGTTTCACTCTGTACACACAACTTATACTATTTACAACACAACTTATGCAACTACTATTACTCTAACGGTATTTCGCGGTATTTTCAAACATTAATATATTTTAACATTTATTTTCCAGACAAAGTATAATATAGTATTAAGATTAAGACATAAAAAATATTATAAGAAAGATCTTAATATAAATCACAAACTAACTATACAACACAGGTATAAAACTAATAAGATCAAAACTCAACCTTCACCATATTGTCAAGATTTGGCATTATAGGAAACAAGAAATTGCAGTAAATTAAGAAAAGAATATCAAAGTACACGATATTAAATACTGGATAATTACCATTATTACCAAATACTGTAATGTATTCTACGACACAAACCATCTCCCTTCTAAGATAAAACATAAAGCTTATTTTAGTCTTATCAACACACTTTTCGATAAAATATATGTCTAAAATTGCTATTAATCCACTAACTTGATATTTTTGAGAAATTATGATACAAACATTATAATCAAAGTATATTATATTATTATTATATCTCCCATTGACGTGTATTGTTCTATTAAGACTCGTCATGGTAGTACTTCAATACATCAATACATATAATCAAAACTATTGTTGCCTGTAAATAACTAGAAATTAAATAACTTGAAAGAAATAAAATAATTCTAATAAGTTTAAAACCATTAAGAAAAAATCCGTAAATGATAATTTTTAATTCTAATGTAAATATATAAATAAATGTTATTATTATTACAATTTTATATATTCATAATACTTTCATTTCACAATCTTCATTATCTTTCTTACCTTAATTTTGGATATCAAGATAAATCTGAAATTATAAAATTGTATTATAATTGATTAACACTCAAAAAAAAATTTCAACTGCAAATAATTCGAAAATAAACTGGTATTTGGCAACATCGACGATGTGCGCTTGCGTAGTATTGATGATCAAATGCAGCAAATCTGAGCTTCAAGGTCAGCCACCGGATCCACACCTTTACCGAATTTTTTGTTATTTGCGTTATTTGTTACTTATTAGCTCAAAAATATAATAATTATATGCACAAGAAAAATAAGAAATTCTAACGAGATCCATATTATGTTTCCATGGTGCGAGGTCTTTTTAATTTCTTGACATTTTTTCATATGACGCTATGTACCGTTTTTGCGTAAAAACCATTTTTATGGATTGAAAAATTGCAAGCTTGGCATTAATATCGGTTAAAAATAACCTATTTTTCAAATAGACCAGCAACCTAATCTCGAAACACGCAAGTAATTATTCTTAAGTATGTATATTACGAGGTATATTTTATTGTTAAGTAGGTACTTACCTGAGACACTAAATATAAAAACTTTAAAATACTTCATATATAAAATAGGTCAACACCAAAAATTTTTGATCGTGTAAAAAGCGCGAAGGCGGCTCATTTTCAATGCAAATGGGCTAGAACTTGTAGCTAGAGGCTAGAACTAGAAATGATCAAATGATGCAATCAGCTTCCCGGCCGTCGGCGTCGCCACGTGCGTCTAAAGCTTGTTTCATATAGACGCGAATCGCGAATTGCGATTTTGCGAAACTGCTCTCATTGGTCCAATTTTAATGATCATGCAGCGCTGTCAGAAATTTTAAGATTTTGGCGATTCGCAAGATTTAAAATTTGGGGGGGCAGGAAAGTTAAAGTGTTTTCAACTTTTTGCGAATATTCGCGCGATTTTAAAGGTTCGCGTTTGCGCAGAATGGTGTTGTGATCCGGTTATCGATTATTTTGACGACGCTGCTACAAAGTACCAAACTATGGTACCAAAGTACAAAGTAATGGTAGGTTCATACAGCTAAATAAAATAAAATAGAATAAAATAAAATAAGAAATAAGGAATTCTTATTTGTGTGCGTTCATACAGTCAAATAAAATAAAATAAGAAATATATATTTGCTCATGCGCAGTACGATGAGGCTGGATAAAAGTTAACTTTTACGATTGTTTATAGTAATTTTACCATTTATAGTATATTTATTTGTTCGTTGCCTACTATATTATATATTTTACTTATGTGAAATTATAAAATAAATTAAATCCAAACTGAAAATATTTGTAGGTTAGAATTAAGCGTCCGCAAAGCCGTTTAAAATAAAATAACACATAAAATAAAACAAGAAGTTAAAAGATAAAGACTTCTTATTTTATTTGTTATTTTATTTGGCTGTATGAACGCATGTACGGTATCCCATATAACCAACTTTCTTATTTTATTTTATTTTATTCTTATTTTATTTTATTTGGCTGTATGAACCCCCCAAACTGAAAGCATTTCTCCAGGTGAAATGGGTTCTCGTGTATGTTTTTGATATATGGTGACAATTTTTCAACCAAGTTATCAAACTCCTGTACAGACAATCTGTGAAAATTCTGAAAAAATTTGTCCTCATTTCTTGAATTAAATTGCGATAAGCACCTTGTTGCTTACGAAATTTAAATATTTCACATGTCCCAAATGACCTATAAACCCGTTCTATTCTACGTTTTAACAATAAGTAAATGGCAATTTTGCTTTGTTCCAATCCCACAATCGTAATCAATATTCATAATCATTAAACAAATTTAAACTCATATTGTATGCTATAAAATATAAAATAAAGATCGTAAACACGAATATAAACAAATTAAGTTATCTCAGGTTATGATTTTTTTTAGTTACTTTCAGTGGAGCAAAAATGAAATGTCCCTAAAAATTCGCGACTGTATGAAATAGGTCCGAATTTTGCGAATATTTTTTGGCGAATCGCTTTTCGCAATTCGCGATTCGCGTCTATATGAATCAAGCTTAATCCACATCCACCGTTGAGATGTCCAACAAAATACCTGTTTAATACCAGATAAAACGAGTTTAATACCAGATAAAACCAGTTTATTACCAAATAATACCAGTTTATTACCAAATAATACCCAATTAGTACCAAAAGTACCAAAAAATACGAGTATTACCAAGTGCTTGTACAATAAATACCACCAGCGGTTTGCCCCTCGGGTGAAAACTACCCCCACCCCTACGTATTATTTACTATAAATATTTTCCAACTCATTCTAAGCTTCATAAAAGCTTGAAAAAAATTAATAACTTTAAAATTAATAATTAACGTTCGGGTTTGTAGGGTTTGTTTTTGATTGATGCCCTCTAACGGACAAACAAAACACTTTTATATAAAGGTAAATTATGTGCAATTAATTTATTGAGATTCAAAGAATACGTATTTGTTCTATCTCCACGGAATATTGGAAGTCCCTGTATATTTTGTAGGTCTGCTTTGGAAAATAAATTTTCCAAAATTTATTTTCTCAAAAACTATGCGATGTAGCATTTTCTTACAAGAGATAAAAAATGTAGTAAATACATACATAGAAAGAATATTGTACGAAAAGAAAATCGGTCGTCGGTTGAATTGGAAAATATTTATACTAAAATTTATGTAGTGGTAGGGGTAGTTTTCACCATACCCGTACTTTTTCTTGATTTTTGTGAATGTCAAATTTTAAGGCACTTATCTAAACATAGACACTCAAAGTATCATTCAAATCGGAATAACGGTTCTTAAAATACTACCAAAAAAAATTACTTTTTTTAAAATTTGCTGCCCTCTAGCGGACAAACGAAGCCCTTAAAAACGAAAAAAAAAAGAATCAAACAAAAACAACGAAATCACGCTTACAGCGTGTTTTGATAGACATTCTGTTTCTGAAAAAATTCCTTACACTTGAAACAAAATAAGAGATCTATTTTTATTTAAATTTACTTTAAATAATCTTATTTGCATGACATCTAAAAACAATTGAATATGAAGAAAAAATATAGTTCTCTTTAAAAACCGGCAATAAGATCAGTTCAATAAATAGCACACAGATGGACAAAAGTCAGTTAAAAATGGTAGGGTAGGCAACCCTAAATACACCTTGTCCTAACCTAATTTCTAAGAAGCCTTTTTTGTTATTGTCTGACTTTGTTGATTTTTCGGATTTTAAGTGAAAAATAATGTCTACAAGAGCCCTACCTCAAAGCAAAGAAGCTTTATTAAAATCGTACAGGACCAGACTGAAGGACGATGTAAAAAGCATGCTAGAAAACTTCGAAGGTATTGTATTCATAAAACATTCAAAAGCAAACAAACCTTAACATAAAAATAAACTGTACTTTTCTAGAGATTATCAAACTGGCTAAAGGAGAACATGATACTCAATTATCCAGGCTCACACAGTGCGAACAGGATACCTATGAAATGCACGTAAGGTCAGCAAATATTGTTCGTGCTGGTGAATCTCTAATGAAGCTTGTATCAGATATAAAGCAATATCTTATATTGAACGATTTCCCTTCGGTGAACGAAGCTATCACACAAAATTCTAAGCTGTTTAGGTAAAGAAAGACATATATTAACATTTTGTATATAACCATTTAGAACATAAACATTCAACCAAAATAATATAAACGGTGAGCCAATGTTAGTAACAACCTCAGTGTCCGGTTTGTTGTGGCATATTTGCAGTTTTTTATAAAATATGACGGTAGTAGCAGCACATAATATTTTACAGGGATCTCTCAGGGAAGATTATACAGGGTGATACAAATATCTAAAGTAAATACCTAATATAGTTTTTATTTTAGGACAGGTTCTGGTATTTGTAATAATTTTTTTAAAGAAGTTTAAAAAATATATATTTTGTGTATTTATTTATTAATATATCTGAAATTACTGAAATATATTTACTCATATCTTCGGATTATGTAAAGTGATCTGAAAGGAAGCCAAAAATGCAATAATATACAGGGTGTTCCGTTAAAAAAATTCATCCTGATCCTCTCACACTTTTTTGCCTCATACATACTTTATTTTTGCACATAAACTAAATTCTCAAGTTTTTTATTCTACGGTAGTAGCAGCACATAATATTTTACAGGGATCTCTCAGGGAAGATTATACATTTTTAAATGCCCGACGTACTATTGCCGGGCCCTGTAGATGCCATTATATTATTTTTGGATCAGAAATTTTATTTGTTTATCATAAAAATCACTGTTACGTACAGGTCCAACTATTCAAAAGAAATAATTGGTTTTTATTATTGTGTGGGGGTCTGAATCTGTGGATGTCTGATATTGTTAATATATTTTTTTTTATTTTATACAGGACAAAACAAGCAGAGTGTGATCAAAAACTGATGTCTTTGAGGGACGACATGGCTGCTGATCTTTATGATTTAGAAGAAGAATATTATAGCAGTATTAATAAAATGTAAGTTATTTTTTAGGGTATTTAAAGATAAGCCATACTATCAAAAAATTATACAGGGTGAGTCTTAAATAAGTGTAAATATTTTCAGGGCTGGTATATTTCGACCCAATGAACACGTCTATGAGGTTTTTTTCGCAAAAAAATATGTTGAAAATCGTACATTTTCTTTTAAATTTCCCTGTATATTTTTCGAAAACTTTAACTGCCTGTTCACCGCAAATTTTCCCACGGTGTAATTTCTTAATCTTTGATATTACCATAGTTACGCCTTTATGGTTACGGCACTAAAAGGGATGCAATTACAGAAAAAATCCGGTGGCTCTCAAAATTTAAAAAAAATATATTTTTTTTTTAATTTTCAAACTTAAATAACTCGGTTATTTTGGACTTATCTGAAAAATGGTAAAGAGAAAATATGTTGCACTTATTTAAGACTCACCCTGTATAGGTAGACAACTTTCAGTTAATACAATACGTTTTTAATTTTAAGAAAACATTTAAAAAGAGTTGTTAGTTTTTGTAAATATTTTTTAAAAAATTTTTATTTTGTAATTTCAATCATTTTTTTAAATAAATGTGTTAATTTATTGTAATAATTATAATATTTGGAAAAATTAATGTAAATAAAAATAAACTTAAAAATTATTTGTTCAATATTTATTATATTTTTATATAGGATATAAACATAAATAAATCTGTGGTTTTAATATACCATATGATCGAGAAAAACGGCGTCCAGTTGGTTTGGAAATGACGATCGATGACATTTCCCATATAATTACAGCGATTTTCATTTCATAGCCATCACTGATGTCTTTTTTGGATCATATTGTATAATAAAGTGGGAAAGTATAAAATAAGTACGATTTTCCAGTGGGGTAGCTATGTAATATGTAAGCAAAAGCACTGGTGCAAATAATAATTGAAATCCTATCTAAACTGTTCATCAAGTTAAAATATACTGTGTGATCGAAAAAAAACTCGTTAATTTACCTTAAAAATTGACATTTTATACAGGGTGTTTCAAAAAACATGTGCGATCTCTCGTGGAGAGATTCCTCACGTAAAAATAAGACTTATTTTTCATATCAACATAGGTCTGATTCTGCTTTGTTTCCTAGTTACAGGGTGTTAAAGTCTTAATATTTTTTCGATTTATTATACTTTTCTTTCAAGTACTTTTAGCCTTTCGAATGAAATTTTGAGGGTAAAAGTTACTATAAATGTTACTAAATATTTTAAGGCTAAAAAAGTGTCGCCATATTGACCAGGGACGTGCATTCTTCGTTACGTTTTAACTAGACATATTCCCGAGGGGTGTCTCACTTGGGTAAAAAATGTACATGTACTGCCAAAATATCGTCTTTCTACCAAGCGACTGCCAATCACAGCCAAGAAGACTGCCTATGACTGCCATGTAATTATTATAGGTGGCTGCCGAAAGACTGCCAATGACTGCCAGCGACTGCCAAGAAAATGTACATGTAATTCCAGTAGTGAGACACCCCTCGCATATTCCTATACCTAAAATAAACCGTTTTTAAGTTATTTAAATTTTAGTTTGAAAACGTATATTTTTCTTGATTTTATCTAGCTTCCTTTGACATTAAGTGTCAAACAGTCAGACAATTTATTTCCATCTGTCAGAAAATGAATTATTTGAATTTCCTATATTATAACTACTGCTGCTAAAAAGTTTAAAAAGTATTTATAAAATATATCTTGTATTTTCGTTCTTAAGAATTAGTTAGCTTGGAGTTTTACTTAGTTAGCTTAAAGTTAGCTTGGAAATGATGATCGATAATATACTGTCATAGGCTACTGGCTCTGCTACTGGTTAAAATCAAGAAAAATATAAAAAAATTAAAGGCTTTAAAGCTAAATCTTAAATAACTTAAAAACGATTTATTTTAGGTACAGGAACATGTATAGTCAAAAAGTAACAAATTTCAAAAACTAAAGTAACGAAAGCGAGTTTTCACGAGTGAAATAAAAAAAGTGGATTTCCATTTGAAAAAAAAAATGATTTATGATAATTTTTTAATCGCTCAATTCCATGACAGCTGCGGCCATTATTATATGACATTCAGACAAATTAATTTTTGAAATAGATAGCCACATGTCTTCTCTTTATGGTACAGTGGCTGTGGCAATCACTAAATTTGACGTTTAGGCTATATACATACTTTTGGCAGGCAGTTTTTTTCCTCCAAAAATTTTAAATATTTTTTTTTTCTCAAAAACGGTTAACGTTAGGTATAGAGTGTTTAATATCAAAATTCATAAAATTTTACAGAGCATTTAAGTATGTAATAAAAAATGGGATCACCCATTTAAAATAAGAAAGTTGCTGTCAACTTCCGGTACTTCCGAAAGTGCCGCCATATTAAAAATATTTTTAATCGATAGATCTCATTGTGAAACAATGATATGCACAAAATCTCGTATCTAGATATTGTAGTTCTCTAGAAACTTCTAACGCTGGCTCAGCCTGGGACACCCTGTATAAATACTTGAATTTATAATATAAAGAATATACATTAGAAGTATATCATTATCTTAACAGACCAGGGGCCACATTTAGCTTCGCCGCCCCGGGCCCCCGACAGGCTTAGTCCGCCACTGATCGGACCTATGTTGATATGAAAAATAAATCTTATATTTACGTGAGGAATTTCCCCAAGAGAGATGGCATATGTTTTTTGAAACACCCTGTATAGAAGTACGAATTCTTCAAAGTCGACATCACAGTTTTTGGTCAAGGAAAGTTGTGCTGCAGACTACCATACAACCAAAAAAAAAGGACGCCAGAGACAGCTTGAAAATTAAGATCACTGTCATTTTGTATGTAAAATTATATGAGGAATGTCATCGATCATCATTTCTAAGCCAATTGAACGCCGTTTTTTGTCGATCATACGTGTACTATAATATAAATATTGTCTATACATTACATTGTACTATCTATATAGCCATACCATAACTACGCCCAATAATAATAATAACTAAATCATAATTCTATCTAAAAATGTGATTAACCTAGTAGGTAACATTCGCACACCATACAGGGTGGTCCTCAAAAGTGGCCCACCTCTATAACTTTTTTATTTTTTCAGATATATAAACGAGATTTGGTAAGTTAGCATATGACATAAATCAGGATTGATTGACGTATTCATTTGTTTTCGGTCACTTCCTGTTTGAACGTTATAGATTTGATCGTCTAATGTTTTTCGTGTCTAGTCCTGGCCAGTTAAAAGATGCCCAAATCGTATTTTTAATCATAACTTTTTTGAAATGAAACGAGGGGTGGCTCGTTAGCATATTTGGAAAAGGCATTTTTTTATGAATAATTTGGTACCACACACTTGGTGTTTCGAGTTAAATTGTCGTTACATTTATGGCCATGGCACTCTAAATTGAAATTCAAAATGCTAATTTTTTTTAATTGAAAATGTAACATATTATGATACCTATGTCATGCTATTCGGAATGTTATTTCTTATGAAATAAAAAAAATACCAGGGTTTCATTTAAAAATCAAAAGTTGTAGTAATTTCCGATGAAACAGGAAGTGGCCGAACGAAACAATTGAATATGTCAATCTTAATTTATGTCATATATTGTAAGAATTATTTAAATTTCGCGCAAAACTAGGTTGGCAACTCTTGTAAGAATTATGGGTAATTAGTTGTTATGGTGTTATCAGTTGTTATTATTGATAAATAAACAAAATTGGAGAATAAAGAACGAAAATTATTTGAAGTCGTTTTTATTGAAAAGACAATAAAAATTGATGCTCCCCCTTTTATAACTTCAGGTGTGGGGTAAAATCGGCGTAGTCCCCAAGTGAGAGAAGAATAAATAAGTTATAACAAGAGTTTGAAGATTACCGGCAATAAAGGTAAAATAAAATAGAAGATCAAGACGAAAACCAGTCACCAATTTTCTGCTGATGATTTTGAAAGATTTGTGCAAAATAGAGCTGAAGAAAATCCAACCAGTAATGCTAATATTAATCAATTTATGAATACGATAACAACCTTATTGCAACAAAATACTCAGATGTTGCAAATGCTACAAAAACAACAGCGCAGCCATTACATCGCCAAATCAAGAATCTACAGTTCGAAATTATAACGTAATGCCAGATCTCTCGAAAACTATAGAAATATTCAGTGCTGAGGAAGAGCCAAGTAAAGCTAAATTATGGTTACAGCAGTTGGAAACTGCCGCAACACTTCACAATTGGCCAAACGCGTTTATCTTCCAAACAGCCAAAAGTAATCTGATTGGTGCTGCACGCCATTGGTATTCAGGGCGAAGCAGTGAAGTTGTAGATTGGTAGTCCTTCCGTATGGCTTTTATTAAAAAAAAATTGTATTTACCAAGAATAAAACCGAACTATGGAAAAGAATACTAACATACCAAATCGTTTTTATCTGAAAAAAATAAGTTATAGGGGTGAGCTTTTGAGAAATACCCGGTATAATAATTTTGTATGTAATATAAGTAAGATGTATGCACTAAAAATAATTTAAGGCAAGTTGAGCAGTTTAAAGGTGTCGACATAAGTAATGTCAAAAATCTGGGATTTGAGTTCTCCATATTGTCCCAGATAAGTTGGCCAATGGGAGTGAGATACTCTTTTGAAATACAATCTGTTGCCGGTGGTGAATATTTTGGCTTTACACCTCTCAGTATTTTCTTTGTTGCACACCCACACAGTTCTTTTCTGAGATCTACGTTTCACCTTATACTCGAAACCTCTCATTATCATCATAGGCAGTTTTCGTTTAAAGAGGAAAAAGACCTTTTCTAAAAAAAATATATCAATCAATATTGCTACGGCTTCTTTTTGGCGCTATACCTGAACACACGAAAAATAACAGACTTAATTATATTTTATTTAATAACCAAAAACTACAATTCTTTACTTATAAATATAAGAAAATTCCATAAATAAATATTTTTTAGGATTGGTAACTCTAGTCAAAAGATATAAATGATATAAATAGATATAAATTATATAATATACACTACTGGGAACCCCTATGATGCCCCTAAGTCAAATTGACGTATTCTAATTATGTTTGACAAGTAGTAAATAAAAATACATGGAAATAGTGTTGGGAAAAATCGGA